TCTCCTCATTCATTGTGCCTTCTCTTAATCGAAAAACGTATACCGTGAAATATATTTGGTTAAGGTCTCCTAGAGATAAAATGGAATTTTGGTTTGGTTTCTGGGGTAAAGTCAAAAAGGCTCTAGCCGAAGCTCCATTATGAGCCAGCAAAGTCTCAATCGCAGCCGTTCTTTGGTCTTCTCACGCCACGGAGGAGAGAGTGTGTTGTGTGACGAGACCAAAAGAGCGCTGCAAAAGAGGTTAAGTTAAGCGTGACATAAAATTGTATAGACAACAGTTATGAAGGATCACAAAATACCTATGATCACAAAATACCTATGGCTGAGATTAGAAGGGTATTTTTTGCTCTCTTTCGAACAGTATTTTTGTTGGAAACTTTGAAAGTTAGTGTTCTTTTTCTTTTATAAAATCTGAAACATTAGTCACTAAAATTGTCATATCTCAACCCACCCATCCGAAACATAACTCACGCAAATGTAATATAACGTGTCCATGTTTAAAGTCTGTTACTTCAGTTTATCTTGTGCACTCAGTTTCTTCCCTTCTTCTGATTGACTTTTACTTTAATGTTTTGCACGAGAAATTTTCCTTTTCTTTCCAATATGACGTTTTCATCAAAGTTTAGTCACCAGCTTTCCTCTCTTTACTTTTATTTCTTACGGATATATTACAGTCTGATTTTGCATTTTCTCCGTTTGGTTGTTTTGTTTGTATCTCGCACATAATACGCTCCCTTCTCTGATTGAATTTTGCTTTTTCTCTTCTCCGTTTGATTTCCAAGTTAATATTTACCCCGTTGTTTTTCCAATTTACATTTGTTTTTTAAGTTGGAATCTAGCCTTCTGCTCTTTTTTTTTTCTGAAATCTTCCCGATTGTCTCCTTAAAATCCTACAAAATGGCGGTTTCCACTCTTCTTTTTAACTATTGCGTTGGTATCTCGCGCAATGTTTCCTCCTTATTCTACCTTAACAATTTGCATAAAGTTCCTCTTTTCTTCTCTGTTTGTTATAATTTTTTTTGGAGTATATTACACTTCCTTCTTCTTTTAACTTTTAGATTATTGTAAAGTATCTCGCGCACTTTTCGTTCCCTCCCCCGTTTGTTCGTTGTGTTACCATCTCCTACACCTGCGAATAGTATTCACCCTTCGATGATCACGTTTGCATGCTACAGGAGAATTGAAAACCAGATCATGGTTGACTAAATCAATGTTAATTTTAAGTGTTGAAAAATCTTTGCCAACATTTTTACGTTATTAAACATTAAGCTCATTTCCTGCGTTTGATATACTTAAAAGATCTAACGAATGAGTTGCAGGTTTCATTATCGCTTGCTTTCGATTCAACCGTGATTACAAAAGCGTGCAAAAACGACTTCTTGACTCTAAAACAAATCAAAATTGTCTAATCAAAAGAAATACAAGTGTCCATTTAGAGTAAATTTGCAGGTAGAAAAATTTTTGTATAGGATCACTCGTTACTCTGTTCCTTTCTTTGCCTCTTTGTTATCCTCTTTGAGTTCTTCTTTCCTAAAAAAAAATTTTCATTTGTCAATAGTTCAACTTTAAAGCAGACGGAACAGATTTTTTACCAAGGGAGTTACTTTCTTCTTCATCGTCACTGGCTATGATTGTCCAAACTTTCCAAATTATTGTCGCTCATTTCATGCTTGATGCAAAAGTGACTTCAAGATTATCATTTAATTGTTGTTATTGTTGATTTTTTTACAAAATTGAATTAATTTTTTTAGAGTTAGCTTGAGTTTCTCAGATTATATTAATCGTCATAGCATTTAGCATCGTATCAACCTTGAGTAATTATTTCTGAATACTTTCCATACGAAAGGAAACTCTTTTACAAGGCCAATTTTAGGAAGCGATTCATCAAATCTTCCGTTTCCGAGCACTAGTTAAGATCGGACAAACAACAAAAACTTACTAGAATGTGGTCAACTGAAAACGTTAAGTGTTAAAGGAAGTTTTTCCTTATAATCCGACTTACCCTTTTTTCAAAAAATCAAATGTCACGTTATCCCCCATCAGCACAAACGGAGCCCATTGGGAAGGTTTGGGGAAGCCATTGCATCTCAACCATTGAACGGCCTGGTGAAGAGATTCACTGGCACTTTCTCCACGAACAAGGTGTTTATAGAAATGCTTCATGAGGTTCGCCGTTGCTTGGTCGTCTATAGCCCACGATGCTACCAACACTGAACGTGCACCGGATGCTAAGAATGCTCTAGCGATTCCAATAACTCCTTCCTTTTTAACTCGTCCACGCCCACTGTGACAACAGCTGAGTACAACCAGTTTAGCTCGCACTTGAACTCCTTGAATATCGGACATAGTCAAGAGGTAGTCTTTCTCTTGTGGAATACCGTTGACGGTACTTTGTGGGGAGAGGGCAATCTCTCCTCTATCGGCATTTCCATGTGCGGCAAGATGTATTAGACTCACTGAAGGTATTGCTTGAAGTACCGCCTGCTTTGTTGCGCACCCTCCTAACAAAGGTGGAACGCCCAGCAGTTGACCAATCATTCTTACTTCCTTGTTTGCAAAGAACAATGGTGTAATGTCAACGAGAAGTCCATTGTAATACACTTTGCCAACCTTAGGATCACCCACTACCAGTGCACCAGTTTGACTGTGATAGTCCACTGGAAATTCTTGAATGTGCTGCAGAGTCGACAGAGAAGGGACGACGCGTATTCTGTACTTCTCCGATAAATACTTTCCGGCAGGTCCAGCGCGCAAGGCAGCGAATGGGACTCGGTACGAAAAGCGATCCGGGACTACGATTATTTCAGGCTCTGTAAGTAAATCTGCCACAGGTGCGACGATCCATTCATGGCACAAATGATGAATTCTTTCGGTATCTTTGGTTTGTTCACCTCGAAAATTTGTTCGGTTCTTGTTATAAACAGATGTCGCCAGGTTGTCATCCAAAGATCGATCTTCACAGTTGGCATTGGGTAAAACGCCAAAGCCAGCGGCACTCTTTTTGAAAATTCCTTCCACATCGCAAACTTGCTCAGCATCAAGAGTGTGT